TGTTACACTTTAAAAAAAATCCTCTCCACATGGTCACCTGAGTCCTTCTTCTAAGTAAATCTGATAATTTTAGTCTGTAGTTAAAATCAGTAGATTTTTTTTTTTCAAGCTTCAGAATAATGTCTAATCAGTTTGAGTGCCATCTAAAATCTCCTTGTGCTGGCCCTGGGCTATTTCCAGTATTCTTTTTACCTCTCCCCCAACTCCACTCCACATTCCAGACACAATATCTAGAATTCTTTGAACAGTTTGTGCCTTCTCTCACCTCTACTTGAACACGTGCCTGTTCTCTCGCTGAGACACACCCTAGTAAACAGCTCAATTTTCAAGATTCAGTTCAGACATCACCTTCTCTGTAGAGTCCTCCTAAGCCTTCTTCCACAAAAGAAAGTGGTCCCACTTGCTCTTATGGCACTCTATCACTGCACTGATTATATTGCATGATAATTATTTGTTAGTATCTGTCTCTCTCCCTTCTGGACAGTAAGGTCTTGGATATCAAGATACATACTTAATTCTTCTTTATTTCCTATCCCAGCACAAAGTAAAATATCTAGCGTATTGTTGTTGCTGTGTGCCATCAAGTCAGAACCAACCCAGAGCTGACCCTCCAGCAGATTTTCAGAGGCAATAAATCTCATGGGAGGAGATTGTCCATCTTTCTCTATCAGAACAGCTGATGGATTCAAACCATGTGCCTTTGTGTTGGCAGCGCAGCTCCTTACCACCAGGGTGTATTGGGGAATAGAAGGGTAGGGGGCAAAGGAGAGAGAAAATAGTTGCTAGTCAAGTCAACTTTGAATCATGGAAATGCCTTGTATGTCAGAGTAGAACTGTGCTCCACAGATGTTTCAATAGCTGATTTGCCAGCAGTAGATCAATCACCAGACCATTATCAGAGATTCCTCTGGATGGAATGGAACCCCTGGCCTTTCAGTTAAGAGCTGAGAGCATTAGCACTTCATGTTGTTGTTGTTGTTGTTGTTATGTGCCATCGAGTCGCTTGCAACTCATAGTGACCCTATGTACAATAGCCCTAAACTCTGCTCTGTCCTGTGCCGATCACACTGTCTCTGACACTCCCATCCCAATTACCCCAGTCACTCATTCAATCCACCTCATAGGGGGTCTTCCCCTCCTGCGCTGTCTCTCCACCCTACCAAGCATGATGTCCCTCTCCAAGGACCAGTCCTCCTTACAACATGTCCAAAGTATGTTAGACGGAGGTAGCACTTCATAGACTCAAAAATATCTGGCACACAGTACACCCTAAATAAATATTTTCTTTAATGACTAAAGAGTAAGTAAATGGGAACTTTGTTTTAAATCTGAAGATTTGGCCTAAGTCCCCACTTAGACTAAACAGAGCATCATTCTGAGGCCATCAGGCCTTAGCATCCAACTTGTACCAAGTGCTCATTAAATAATGGGAAAGGAATAGATTCATGAAAAATATAACCTAAATTCAAAAAAAATCTTAATTTCCTTCTGAACCCTCTCCCAGATCTTCATTTTCTTTAAGTTATTACAGACAGGACAAAGTCCAAAAACTATCTATTGCAGTAAAGTTATCTAACTATAGCCACTCAGGAGAAAGCCATGAAGCAGGAAGGGGCAAAGACCTGTAGGCAACCAAGAGAGAGAATTTTAACTATAATAATCATCAATACCTTACACTTGAGTCACGATTTATGACTTTCTCATTTCATTATCACAATAGCCTTAAAGTAAATAGCTAACCATTGTCCCTTACCTAAGGTCACACAGCTGTTGAACACAGCCTCGAACATAGATAGGTCTGATATACGTTTCACTCAACCAAAACCCACTACTGTGGAGCAGATTCTAACCATAGCTAATTACCCTGTAGAAGGGCACAAATGGTCGTTAGCGATTCTGATACAGTAATTTTTTTTTTAGTAGATGTCCTCCCCTTCCTCCTCAGAATGGCCGGCGGGTTCAAGCACCACCCTTTCAGTTCACAGCTCAGTGCTTAACCTACCACACCACCAGGGCTTCCTCACTCTACCAACATCATCTCAAACATATGTAATAAAATCATGTACAAAAATTCATTCCTTTTATTAAAAAGTAAATACTCAAGTCTTCAGACTAATTAATAATGGTGACTACTTAACATGTTTCCAAATTTGAGGACTCAGCCTCAAATTGCCATATCTCTTATTCTACTCCATGTGTGCTCTACTGTACAGAGTTTTTGAAGGCCTGTTATATTTCAGAAGTGGCAACTAGGACAATGGGGGTCGGTGTGTCAGAGTCAGTGAGACTGGCTCAGAACAGGGCAGGCTTCAGAGATGTTGTACATAGGGTCGCTATGGGTCGCAGGTGACTCAAAAGCACCTAACAACTTTGTATGTATTATTACAAGGGCATACGTGTATGTGTCTGTACATGGGTGCACAGAGGTTTGAACATGTCTCTATTCCCAAATTAGAAGGGTGGCTGTTGAAGGTAAGCATGATATCAGAATCAAGGAACAATAGCTGTCAGGAATGACCCAGCCAGAAACCATGAAAGAGTAAAACCTAGGACATGAAGTTCGGCCCTCAGCCCGAGGCTACTGAGTAAGAAGCAAACATTCTTCCCTACCCCAATGGCCTGAGAAGACCTCATAGTCATACAAAAACTGAGATGTGTAATCATCACCCTGAGTCATCTGAAAAATAGTCAAAGTATGAAGGCAAGCAAACATGTCATAAGTTTTAGTAAGATTTCCAACTAAGTTGGTTAAAATAATAGAATTCTGGAGCTTTTTGAAGAGATGCAGCCATCAGGGAAATTTACTTAGATGGAATTATCCCTTTTCTACACAAGCTAAGCAACATATGCCTGAGGAGGGGTGGGCAGGGAACAGATCAACAGATTCTAAAATTTGTTTCTCCAGTAAACCAACCTACCAGATCATCTGTAAACGACGCAAAAAGAGATTACAGATCACATTTAAAACCTCAAGGGAAAACTCTCTCCTTGTAATACAAGGCAGTTTCACTACCCTTTCCTGACTGTTGCCATGCATAACAAACATTCCCATACACAGAGATGAGTCCAAGCCATCCACATGGACACATGAATCGCAGGAAGACAGTCAATTCTAAAACAGTAAAAAACAGGCGCTTGCAGAGTGAAAACATGCTCTCTTTTTACCAAGGCTGAAGAGAAGCTGGGAATAAAATGGAGCAATGAAGAACAGAAAGAGAAAAAGGACAAAAGGCTAATTGAGAAGCTAGTGAGTACTTGCACCAGGTGCATGATTCTTAACTCGCTGCTGCTGCTGCTGCTCGGACAGCTGCCCTTTAAACTGGCAGAATTTCTGAACTTCTTCACAGTTTAGGGTTAGGACAGAAATCTCCAAGAACCCAGGCCCTCCCACGCTGAGAGAAAACTTTTCAAGGACAGAAGCACCTGAAGGATGGGGCCATAAGAGACTGCCCTCTCAGCCCCTCTTATTTGGCTTTGCTTAATATTCAGGTTTAAATTATATCTGAGTGTTGGGGTGGGGGAAGTAAAAGTAGATTGATATGACAGTTTCAAGAAGCTGGTCTTCAGAAATACTTATATAAGTACAATTAGGATATTCAGAGATCCACAATCTACACAATTGATAAACTAGAATTAAAAGGATCATTAACACGTTCCTTTCTTTTTAGGTGCTATTGAATCAAGCACAACTCATAGAAACCCTATCAACAAGAGATCTGAACCCTGTCCTATCCTGTGGCATCCTCACAATGTCTGACACACTCAATCAAGCCCATTGCTGCAGTCACCCTCAACATGTGGCTGAGGGTCTTTCTCTCCTTCACAGTCCCTCTGCCTTTCCAAATATATCCCTCTCCAAAGAAAACTCTCTCCTGACAACATGCCCAAAGTATGTGAGACGAAGTTTTATCATCTTTGCCTCCAAGGAGCACTGTGGTTGCACGTTCTCCAAGACACATGGTAAAAAGCTACATTGCCATTCCACAGGCACATGGTTTGAATCCACCAGCTGCTCCACAGGAAAAGAATGGGCCATCTCCTCCCATGTGACTTAAATGTATCTGAAATCCCACTGGAGGGTCAGCTACGGGTCAGCTCCAACTTGAAGTCAAGTCACACAACAACAAACATTAACATAAGACTAGTTGAGTAATTGAAAGTACCCCAAACCAGAACCAATACCATATAGTTCATTCTCAGAGATTCCTCGCAGAGAATCATTCCATAGGGTTTCAAGGCTGTAAATCCATGGAAGCAGTGGGGTAGCTAGAGGGTTCTGACTGTCAATCTTTTGGTTAGCAGCCAAACAATCACCGTGCCACCAGGGCTCCTAAATCATAGTACCACTTGGAAATTAACATAGTATTACATTAAAAAGAAAAGTTGATCTACAAAGGAAAAGAATGTCACTGATAAAAACTGAGGTATACAAGGAAATTGCAGAATTATATGTATAATATGATCCTATTTTTGGAACAGATGGAACAAAACGCTACCTACTGAAGGAATATAGATAAAAATCAGGATGGACACACAAACCCATAGTGGTGTGTTTACTACTGGATTTGGAAAAAGATGAGTTGCTTTCTTTTTTGGGATTTGGGTTTTGGTTTTGTTTTGGGGTTGGTTTTTTTTTGCTTTGTTTTTGGGTTTTCTTAAAAGAGGAATAAAAACTCCCTTTAGTTGCCATTAGATTGACTCCAACATATGTGGAGCCCATCTGCCGTACATGTGTCAGAATAGAACTGAATTCCATTCAATATCGTGACTAATTTTTGAGAGTTGCCATCAAACTTTCCTACCAGGTTCCATTTTGGCACTATTTTAATTCAAGTAACATAAAGATATATTAATTAATTTAATTAATTAAGGATAATGTTTTTTTAAAAAGCACTGTCAGGAGTATTCATTTCCAACTCCTTCTCACTCCCAGACTGAACTCAGGTCTCTACTTCTACCGTGACCCTCCACCGGGCTCCCCAAATCCCAGCCCCACTTACAGATGCACGCAGCAGCCAGCAGGCGGACAGCAGCATAGGGGGCCAAGCAGCTCGGGAAGATGGGTTGCACCAGGTAGTTGGCAAAGGTGATGGCAATAACAGCCTGGCTGGTAGGCTCGATGATGAGAAGGGAGGTCCAGAGTCGGATGAAGGCAAGGAATCCTCCAAAGGCTTCGAGGATGTAGGCATAGCTAGCCCCAGATTTCTTAATGGTAGTGCCCAGTTCCGCATAACAAAGGGCCCCAAAGACAGAAAAGAGGCCCCCAATAGCCCAGATGACCAGGGAAAGGCCAAAGGAGGAACTGTACATGAGCACGCCTTTGGGAGAGACAAAGATGCCGGAGCCAATCATGTTCCCCACAATTAGGCACACTCCATTAATTAGTGAGATCTCCTTCTTCAGTTTTACCTGGTCGGGCTCTGAGTTTGCCCCACCAGCCAAGGGAGAACTTTTCCCATTGTGCTGGGAGGCCACTTCGTACTTGGCACAGTCGGCCATGGTGGAGGAGGAGAGAGAGCCTTCACCAGCTGCCTGGCATCACCGTCTAAGGAAGAGAGATAATGATATATATTAGCAGTTGGGAAGTACATAGTACCCTTTCCCACATAGCCAGGTAAAGGCATCCACTTCAAACCCACCATTTTTGGTGGAAGGCTCTTGCCTTCTCTCTCCTACTAACCATTTTTTCTCTTTGGATCAATCATGAAAACAAATACATCTTTCATTTTCTAAGAGGCATCCATTCCCTAGAGAGATGACATTTGACTCTCATTGTTAGAATGATGCTGGCCACCTAAATCCTGTTCCTATCTGTACTTGATATAGGACAAGACTAATAATAGGAAACAGGGTCATTTGGCAACTTTCAGGTGCCAACACAGTGGTTTGAGTCTGAGTTTTCAACTTTACTTTTAAAAAGTCTATCTTTCCTCCAACTTTTATCTCACCTGTCAGATGTGCTAAAATGCAACATTAGGCACCAACCTTACAAGCAGCTAATCTGCAGGTTGTTCCTTTCTCCAAGGACTCTAACTCTGCTGGAAACCTTCAAGGTTCCCCTGCTGGAATTCATAACCATCCACCTAGCCATTACCATCTCCAAACCTAACAGAGCTCCACTCTGAAAGAACATAGGCAAGTCTTCTCTTTTGTTGTTTAATATACATTTCTCAGCTCCAGTATTCATGACTTTCTGCTATTAAATCACACCAATATAATTACATAACCAAAAAAAAATTTGAAGGAGTTACTCAAAAACTCAAAGTCACTGCCATCAAGTCAGAACCCAAGCTGACCCTCCTTTGGTTTTCTGAGAATATAAAACTGTAAATTACACAGGCGATGAGTGCCCATCTTTCTCGTCTGAGCCACTTGTGGATTTGAACAACCATAGAGGTTTTGAGTTAGCTGCACAACATCCTGCGGACTACACTCTGACTGCAGTGGCATCTAGACGTGGTTGGAGGCAATGACTGCTCTCCAGTCAGGAGAGATATCACCCAAAGCCAAAACAAAGACATAGCTGGAGCTGGGCAACAGATGCCAGAGGAAATCAAGGCAGGGGACAACTTGAGGGGAAGAGAGAAGATCAAGTAAGTAGAGAAATACTGGAACGAGAGGCAGCTAAGACACAGCAAAGCAGCAAAGAACTATGGAGAGAAAGATGAGTGAAGATTAAGGGCAAAGAGGGGTATGTATGTACACTCACCCCCTAGCCAGGGATATAGTAGGCTCCTGTGGCAGCCTAGGCAGTCAGAAAATTGAGCCCTCCAGGCCCCAAGAGGTGCAGTTGCCTGACTGCTCCTCTCGCCTTAAGCCAGCAGTAAAAGGGAATGCCTGGAAAATGCTTATAGATTTAAATCTAGCTGAGAAGGGAGGAGAGAGGAGGGGCGTGCTAAGTAATTGTCTCAGTCTAAGGTTCACTGACCCTTCACATCTGCAATAGTGGTGGCTCGGAGCTCCAGGCTCAGCATTTTCTGAGATAAGAAGGCACGCTCAGGAATCTCCTTTGTCAGCTCTGCACCAGGACTGGGGACCCAGAAGAACTTGCAGCTGGGTGCAGTTTCCCCAGCTTCCAAGTAATCTGTCCTCAGCATAGCCAGCTGAAACAAGGCAGTGCTGAGAAAAATACACAGCCCCTCTTGCCCCTCTATCCTCCATGCCTACCCTAGCCCTACTTCTCCTCTTACTCAAACAATTAAGAAAAGCAGGAAGGTTGCACAGTGTGACACAAAAGCTGATTCACATGCTGAGATTAGAGGAAGTATAAGAGAAGTTCCTACATCCCGTGATAGAGCTTGGGCCTCAGGTAGGGGGAGGGGAAGCAGACCCTAAACTTGGGTTATTACTCTAAGACTGAGACTGAAACTACTTCAAAGGAAACAAGTTCAAGCAATGTGACTCAAATCTTTGGCTATATCTATATTCAACTTCTATACTGTTTCATCCTTTAGAAACCTGTTGTTGCTATGTACTGTAGAGTCAACTACCACTCATAGCGACCCTATAAACAACAGCTCTGAACCTTGCCCTATTCTGAGTCAATCTAACTGTCTCTAACACACCTGACCTACAGTTACTGTATTAATTCATCTCATCCAGGATTTGCCTCTCCTGGGCAGACCCTTTACCCTTCCAAGCATGAAAGGTAAGCATGGATTCCTCTAAATACTGTCACCAAACACAACTTCCTAAATATCATAGTTTAGTGGTAAAGAAGCTGCACTGTAAACCAAAAGGCAGGAGGTTTGAATCCACCAGCTGCTCTGTGGGGAAGTGGGGCAATCTCCTCTTATGTGATTTACAGTCTCTGAAAACCCACTGAAGGATCAGCTTGCTATGAGTCGAATCCAACTCAATGGCACAAAACAACAAAACTACAACATCCTAAGTAGACAGTCTCAGAACAGGCAGAAGTATAGTATTTTCTTTTTGGAAGCCACATAGTTTGTTCTATCTTTGTTGTTGTTGTTAAGTGCCTTTGAGTTGCTTGTGACTCATAGCGACCCAATGTACAACAGCTCTGAACTCTGCTCTATTGAGCCAACCTCATTGTCTCCAACAAGCCCACTCCCATTACCCCACTCACTAAATCAATCTGTCTCATCCAGTGTCTTCCTCTCCTGCACTGTCCCTCTACCCTCCTAAGCATGATGTCCCTTTCCAAGGACTGGTCCCTCCTTGCAACATACCCAAAGTGTGTCAGACAGAGATTCAAAATCCTTGCCTACAAGGAGAAGCCTGGCTTCACCCTCTCCAGAACAAACCTATTTGTTCTCCTAGCAGTCCATGGTATATTCAATACTCTTCTCTAGTACCACAACTCAAAGGCATTAATTCTCCTTCTGCCATCCCTAGTCATTGCCCAGCTTTTTGATGCATAGCATGTAATTGTGAATACCATGGCCTGGATCGGGCGCACCTTAGTCTCCAGACTGACATCATTGCTCTTTAGTACTCTGGTGAGGTCCCTGACAACAGACCTTAAATCTTATATTCTAGGTCTCTTACACAAACATAAATACACCCTACTAATTCAGAAACCCAAGAATTTGTCCCTTCTCACAGCTTTCTAATCTTCCCTGGTTATTCTATAATCAGAAACAGAGATCTAAAAACCTCTTAAGGGAGACTTATCTCTAACCTACATTCTAGCTTCTTGATAGTGCTTTTTTTTTTTTAAATTGAGAACAGAACCTTAATGTTTTCTCAAGATAGTCTCAAAAATGTTTCCATTTCACAAGGCTTTTCTCCTACTGCAACTGTCAAACTGCTCTTCTAATATATGAATAGCTAACATTTATTGAACATTTACCCAGGCCCAACATGATATCAAGCACTTTATCATCCCATTTAACCCCTGGGTGGATTTAGACAACTAGCTGAAAGGTAGGCAGTTTAACTAATCCAGCAGTAATTAGGAAGGCAGATTTGACAAAATGCTTCAGAAGGATCACAGCCTTGAAAATCCTAAGAGGCAGTTCTATTCTATACACACGGGGTTTGTCTTGATGTGGAATCTACTCAGCTAACAACCTTGAATCCTTCAGCAGCCCATGAAGGGAAGTATTAAATTACTGGGTTCCAACTGCCATCCAAGCAGATATATGCACACCCATGTTTATTGCAGCTTTGTTTGCAATGGCAAAGAGTTGGAAACAAACCAAGTGCTCATCAACAAACAATGGATAGAGAAGCTCTGGTATATTCACACAATGGAGTACTATGCAGCATTGTAAAACAAGGAACTCATGAAATATTATGCAAAATGGGTGACCCTGAAGGACATTGTGCTGAGCAAAATGTCTCAGTCACAAAAGAACAAATATTGCATAGGGCCACTGTTGTAAAACAGGACTGACATCAGGGTGAGGGAAGACAGAAAAGGAGAGAAGGGATGATGTATATTGCACTGAAACAGATGAGGGAGAGATCTGTTTAAAAGGGATACATGAATGGGTATTCTTGTCATTACAGAAGTCCAGAGTGAAGGCTGCATAGTGGAGTGAACTTGAGGGGAGGGACTGCATAACAATGAAAGAGTTTTTCTTTTCAAGGAGAAGAGTGATTGGTGGGGGGGGGAGGGGTGAGCAGGGAGAAAAGTGAAACAATGAATGACTGGAAATTCTAAGTCTCTATAAATTTTCATTAAAATTAACAAAAATTTAAAAAAAAAAATACTGGGTTCCAACTGGAGAAATGCCTCCAAACTGGAAAGGGTAACAGTTCATCTGAAAACCCAGAACCTACACTTTTAATCACTAAAGTATGCTTTCTCCAGTATCCACTCCCTCTAAGTCTCACTCACTGATATTGAATCAAATCAGAAACTACTCATAGCTAACTTGCCAGCCAGCTTGCGAGGCTGTAAATCATAGGAGAGATTGCCCATCTTTCTCCCCAGGTGCTGCTAGTTGATTAGATCAACCAGACATCCGTGGCCTTTGAGTTAGCAACACAACTCCCTAAGAACTAAACCACCAGAGCTCCCTCCAAGCCCGACGCCCGCCTTTTAGACTGGAAAGTCATTCAGGTGACTCCTTAATGAGTTACCTAGGGGATGATGTGATTAGATAATAAAGAAATTCAACAGATTTTGCCAGCCCTGTAAGTTTGTAATTTTAACAGCTCAAAAAAAGCTGGTCTCCTTTCCCACTGCTGTTCCTTTCTCATCCCTTAGCAAGTCTTTACAAGCCCTCATGGAAGTGCTACTACTGCAAGGATGCCCTCTTGTAAAGCAAATGAAAATATATCAAGTCTACCCTTTTATGAGTAAATTCACTGGCACCAAAGTGTCCTAACACGATATAGGGGGAAAGGAATGAAGGAAAAGGCATCTGTAAAAAGTATGCAGGGCTTCATTCCTAGCTGGGTATATATGAACAGTTACATCCTCTTCATAGAATCTGGAAACCAAAAACTAATGCAAACCAGGGCTTCCACTTGTCCGACCTGTCACTTGCTTCGGAGAATTTGCATTTCTGTCCTAGGTACACTGA